CCCTGAGATCCCAGGACGTCCATTGATTTTTGGTGTTGGAACGTCACGCCTTCCATAGCAAAACCATTGGAACCCAAGAAACACAGGGCACCCTGGAGGCGAGCAGGGTGTCTCTTGGCATGGGCCTCCCCTGCAGTGGACCACAACTCCGTGGATCTGGCGGGGCCCCACAGCCGTGTGGTGACGGACCGCGTGGTGACCTCGCCATCCCCGGCGACCTCACCGCGCGGTCCGCCGCCGCACGGCTCGGGGACCTCCATGCCCCCCCCCCGAGACGCCCGCCGCCGTCCTTGGCACACGGCCAGGGCCCCCCCAAAACCGTGCGGAAACCCAGGGCCCCCCATCGATGCGATGCAAGCTATGCGGTGCAAGCTGTGCGAGCCACGATCAACAACGGGTCTTGAGCGAGATGACGTAGCGACCTTACGTCGCGGCTTACGCGGGCCGCCAGCACGGCAGGTTACACAGGAAACGATGGCACTTACGCGCGACATTACGCGAGGAGCTTACGCGCCCATGTCGGCGCAGGCGACCCGGTTTTTTTGCTAGGGCTCCCAACTTCGCGCTTCGCGCTCCGCGAAGCGCGAATAACTTCGCGCTCTCGCGCCGCCCCCCCAAAGGGACAAAAGGAGGACGAGGAGGAGGGGGAGGAGAAACGAGGACCGCGAAGCGCGAATAACTTCGCGCCCTCGGGGGAGCCCTTGTTTTGGCGTCGCTCATGTGGTGTTAGCTGTGGGCTGCCAGTGAAACCTCGGCGGACCCCTCAAGTGGGCGGCCACGAGGCGGCCTCGGGCGGGGACGCGGCGAAATCTCGGCGGACCCTCCAAATGGGCGGCCACGCTGACTCACCGCGTGGCGTTGTCGCCACATCGTCTGGGGACCCGATGCCGCGAACAAGAAAACTGCAACGTCGTAAAAAATCACGACGGGAGCCCAGGACCCCATCTTTCTGCTAAGACGAAGCCAGAACAAGGAAACATTCGGGTGAGGGTGAATCGAGAATCTCTGAAATCTGGCGGCTCTGGCAAAAAATATCGGTCGCCGCGGCCTTCTCAGAGCGCTCCGGAACGCTCTGAAAACGGAACGCTCTGAAAACGCCCTGAACATTATCTCTGCATCATGTGTCGCGCCCGATCGATCTGCGAGGATCCAGGGGCCCGAACCCGGGCGAAAACGCCCGCTGTGAACGAAAATGCAGAGCCTGGATCCGAAAGAGGGAGGGTCGGACGGCGACCAATTTATTCGAGTTCAATGATTTCACCTTTGACGAGTTCCTCTGGAAGAACGCTCTTCCCGAAGACTCGTCCAGATGAAATCCCACCAGCCCTCTGGGCGTAGGTGGTTTAGGGCGGCTCCTCTTCCGACCCCCTTTCTTCTCCTTCGGGGAGGGGTTAATCACAGTTCCCTATTGACATACACTCCCTCCCCCAGGCGACTAGGAGCCAACCCGAGCCAATGAGGGCCCCCCCGCCATCCCTGGTAACACAAAAAAGCAATACGAACACACACTCTGCCTCCAAATTCGGAGCCAGCGCGGAGAACCCGATGCGGCCTCCCCCTACCATCCCTGTCAACAAAAACAATGCAAGATACACTTGGCGGCGGCGGCGGCGGCTGCGGCGGGGGCAGCGGCTGCGGCGGCGGCGGGGGTGGCGGCGGCGGGGGCGGCGGCGGCGGCGGGGGCGGCG